TATCTATCGTTTCATTTGCATTCGTATTTCGCGTTTCGTAACCTAACCTCAACACGCGATGTTTTCGATGCTTCGATGAGTCGTTAAAATAGCATCGCTATTATATATATATGTACATATGTGCGAGAGAAACAACATTGGAACGTCAAAGATTCATCGATGCGAACGTGGCACTGGCCGTCCTGCGAGGATCGAACATTCTCAATTTAAGAAGATCGATGTAGCGTTCGAAGTTTCGTTGGATGTTTCTCGAAACATGGTAGGAAAGGTCGAAAGCGAATTAACGACCGCACCGAAACTCGGGTGGTAAAACACGAGAGTGGATGTAGCAATCACATGATACACGCTGTTCAATTTTCACGACTCGTTCGGTTCTTCTCCGTCGGTTACCGGTGTCAAATGTTCACGTTAGATAGCGCCACGAGAACGCGACGATGTCGAAACCTCCGACCGGAAGCGAAAGGAAGAAGGGAGACTGCTAGCGCGCGTATGCGCGGTCTTTTCGATTTTTCGAGTCGGAACGACGTTTCACGATGCAACGTGTCGTAATCGCGGAGGTCAGAGATCATTCGCGCGGTTTACACTGCACTCGACCGACGCCACAGAGAGACGCGTTCGTGATTTTCTTAGCAACTAGGTATAACATCACGAACGGATCGTGTCCATATCCCGAGGACGATCGGGTATCGGGTCCAAAGGAGAAGCGATAGCGCGATTACGAACGAAAACGATGGTTCACTACACATGCATACGTATAGGCAAACAAACGAAACGTCGACGAGATATGCACCAACGAATTTGCATTCTAAAATGGCACTTGGCGAAAGATTCTTGCCATTAGACGTAATCGCGAGGCATCGTCGAGCGCGTTTTAATTCGGAAAGGTTGAAAAGAAAGAAAAGAAGAAGAAAAGGGAAAGAAAGAAAATAGGAGAAACAAAAAGGGGGAATTACAGATAACGAGCGATTAGTTTATCGAGAATTAGTAATATGCCCGTATAAGATAAGTATTTGCCAGTGGGATTGTCCGAAAATGCTAGAAAATGATAAAACTCCGGAGAAGGTTGAGACAGAAGGGGACAGGAGCGAAGAAAAATAGATAGAAAGTAGAAAATATCCGATATCGATGTAAAAAGTCGGATGTTCGCATAGAGACAATGACTATTATCGAAATAGAATGCAAAAACGATTATTTGCAAATGTACGTTGACGGAGAAGGCGGATATTCGAAAACATAGGTAGAAGCAATAGAGTGCGATCGAGACCACAGTGGATTAGGTGGTTAGGGATCCGCGGTTAGACGTTTGTGATTTTCGAGCGTGACATTACGAAGAATTGGGGAAAATCGGATAAGTCGGTCAGGATTGTCCACGTATACACGGAGATGCGTCTCAGCCACGAGCGCAACATTCGCAAAGGGAAAAGAGCTCACGGTTTGGTCATGTTGTAGTTCAACAAAGGTTATCGGTAACCAGGGGTAAAAGTCATCTAATCGACGACAAAGAATCACGCTGGTTTTGCGTTCGTCGCTTTTCGTCATTGGCTCGTTGCGATAATCGCTTCGTGCATCCTCATCTTTCCTTCGTTCGACGTTTCTTTCTCTTCCAACTATTTTCGATAAACGAATCTAGTATAAATACTCCGTCTCGACTGTTTCATCCCTTCGACGTAGCAGACCGTCCGCGTCCGGTATCGCGTACCATATCTTTCGTTTCATTCTCCGTTTTCCCGCTGACAAACCAATTCGAGCCTTAAATTACGCGTTACTTTGCTCCGCGAGCCTACGAGCGGCAACAGAAAAGAAGAACGATCGTGACCTGGGGTAAGACTTTGGCTTTCGTTCGTCGCTATGAACGTTAAAGAAAACGAAGCAAAATGGAAGGAAACGAGAGAACGAGGTGGTGAAATGTAAAAGTAAAACAAAAATCACGTTTATACGTTTACAGGAGCGGAACGTTCTACCCAAGTATTACACCAAGGTGCCTACGGTGACGAGATCGACGACGAACAGCACAGCCATCAACCTAGACTGTTCGTCGAACACAGACGAACGTGAGCCCGTTCAACAGTCAAACAGCTCTGATCGCGGAGAAAAAGGTGATCTCTTCCGGCAACACCGGCGCCGCTTCGACCAACCATTACTATGCACAGAACTTGAGGAACAATCACCAGAAGACCCTAAACGGGTCTCGCATTTACGACCCCCTGGGCAAGGGTCTGGACCACGATTATAAACAAATTGATCCACTGTTGGCCGGTGAGCCACCGTACACAGGGACGGAAACCACGAAGGCAAGCATGAGCACGCAAAATGTCAAACCGCCAAAGGATTCGGTCACTGGCAGCAAGCGTGCGCAGTTCCAGAGCGAAACGAAGCCATCGCTCATGCGTTTCGCTAGTCAGGTAATTTCCTTTTTCTCTCTTCTTTTTTTTTTCTTTTTTTTTTTTTTTTTTTTTTTTTTTTTTTTTTTTTTTTTTTTTTTTTTTCCGTTTTGGTCATTCGCATACGTAGACGATCGACCGTGAACCCGCGGTGGAACGATAAACGGACAGAGAGATCCAGTTCGGGCAACGCGTTTGAAAAAATACCGCGCATGGAATCGCGAAATCGCGTGATTCTCGAGTCAGGCGACGAGATGATTATCGAGGAACCGGTAAACGGTAACCGGTAACCGACAACCGACAACCGACAACCGGTAAACGGTAGACGGTAAATGGTAGCCGGTAACGTCGAGCGAGTTGGGCCCGTTGAGGTTCGCGAATCTATTTTCTCGAGGATCGGTCGCGCACATCGCGAATCCCGACACGACAGCATTACGTATCGCGATATGTCGAGAAAACGACAGAGACCTCGTTCGTTTCTACTCGTACACGCGTTTCAAGGATAACGCGAGGAAGCATCCTTGATCCATTTTTCTTCCGACTCGCCTCGACTCCGTAGAGAATCGGATCTCTGGCGAATACGCGTGTCTCGGCGAGGCGTCGAGGAAGATCGCGGAACAGCCGCGACGAAAAGATACCTACGTTTCGCGATTTCAAGGGAATCTTGCGCGATGATTGCGCGAGGCACAGTAGCCGATCACGAAGCGATTCTCGCCCTCCACGCTTTTCTTTCTCGCGCGGATAGAATGCCACGCGTGCCATCTCCGCCCTGTCGTTCGAGCTAAGCTCGAGGGCATCGTGATCTTGGTGCTTACGACATCCATCTTGCGTATATGTGCCGTACATCCTATATCTACGTCTCTACGTATATATTCGGAATTGTATTTATCGTGATTGCGCAAACAAGCAGTACGCGGGAATAAACATCGTCGAAGGCACGATATTATGAAAGCACGCGACGCGAATGCGACGCTTGTCGGCCTCGCGTATTATCCGGGTTACCCCGAAAACCTTTCGATTTACACCTGCAGGTTCCGCGTACGTAGAAACTCGATGAAACAACGGGGTATCGCGGTGCGCGGAACGTGAGGTTCGCGATCCAGACTAGCGATCGAGATCAGCGATTACGAGATCTCGATCTGCTCGCGTTACTCCGCTGCTCGCCGAGCAGAGCGGCACGCGTCCGACTCGAGGCGGACGAAACCAAATCGTGGCGGGTGAAGATCGAGCAAGGAGGGAGAGAAGAAGAAGAAGAAGAAGAAGACGACGAGACGCGTACGTCTGTTTACCGGCGGAGAAACGTTCGGACGAGAAAGGATGCAAAAGCGAGCGGAACAGGTGGAAAAAGAAGAAGAGGAGGAGTAGGAGATGTTAGGCGCGTGGTTCGACGCGTGTTTCACGCTTCGCTCCATCGAAAGAAGCAATTGCGGAAAACAAAAGACGAATGCATGCATCGCATGCGTGCATGCACGTTTGTACTCGACCAACAGCGACCTTGCACGCTTCTGATAATAACTAACGACTTAATTTCCTTCCACGTACATCGCTGACGTACATATATTCGAGACGTTTGCGAACCGCATTAAACAATTAATAGTTCAAAATAAGAACGGAGAAATGGAGCGCCTGGGCGACGATGCGTAAATCGTGATTCCCTACTCTCCGAGTTTACCCATGCAATTTCAGTTTCCCGATGAATCGCGCGGATAACTGACCCCGCGCGAACGCGATCGTAGACGCGGAACGACGCCGACGCCGACGCCGATGCCGACGCCGACGCGGATGCAGATGCAGCGAAACACAGAGGCCAGAACTCGCGCGGGAGTCGATGAATCTTCGGCTTTTCTCACGCGTCGTCATCGATCCATGAAAAAACTTGGCGTACGAGCTCCTCTTTCGCGATATCCACGAGTTGGTCTTCCCGGGAAAACGCTCGCGAATCGAATGACAACGAGCGGAGAAGAACGGAACGGGACGGAATGGAATGGAATGGAACGGAACACGGTGGAATGAAATATGGCATGGCACGTTTGTCCGCGGGAAAGGAAAAGAAGAGTAACAACGCGTCGTGCTCCGACAAAGAAAATTACGCAACGCGAAAGAAGGTCGCCGGCGCGGCAAGATCGGTCGATCGTAACGACGATACGATTCGACCGCGAGATCCCCAGTCACGACTACTCTTCCTATTCCAATACCAAATTTTTATCCATTTTCATCCAACGCGATGACGAAGAACGGCAATGTTCGAGGATTCGGTAACGGGAAAAGTTGGAAACGTCGATTCGTGATGGGTTCATCGAACGGGTTTCTTTTCCTTCTGGTCATCCCCTTTCGCTCTCTCTATCTCTCCCTCCTTCTCCCTCTTCGTCTGTATACAGGGCGGTTTTTCGAAATTAGTCCCCACGTGCCGGGATCGAGTAAGGCACGAAGGAATGGCACGAGTTACGCTCACGCGTAGAACCCCGCGTACGCGAAAGCCGCGCGCATACATACGTATAATCGTCCGATTCGCGGACGATGGATCCTCGCAATGACAAGGGTAGGGATAGTCGCGGCCCCCCAGCATCGTTTCCCTATATAAACAGGGAACCACCCGTCGGTCCACGAGTGCCAATAGCGTGTCAATATTATACGGGAACGACGTTAACGCATTGTATCGAGGAAGAGAACGACATCGACGTTGACGACATCACCGACGTTGAAGGCGGCGGTGGCGGCGGTGGCGGCGGTGGCGGCGGCGGCGACGGCGACGGCGGCGACGACGACGACGACGACGACGACGACGACGACGACGACGACGACGACGACGACGACGACAACGACACATCACCGATAACCGATAAATTTACAACGAGAGGAAAGATCGATTGCAACGGGCACGATATCGAGCGGAAGAAAAAGCACGATAACAATAGCAACGGAGAGGATATTTAATTCGAGGTCGCGAGACCAACGTCGCGAAGAGAAGGACAACGGAGCAAAGTGGTATCTGCCAACACGGCGAGAACAAATGGTCGACTAACGCGCGCATCGAAATCGATGACTAGTAAACGATCTGCTTCGGTCTAATAAAGTTAAATCGATATCGATAGACAGGCACGTGCTCGAACGGCTGGTTCGTTTCGCGTGCCGCGAGAAGAAAGGAACGAGGATCGTGCGCACTGTGTAGACGATAGAAATCGTCCAACGATCGCAACTCTTTCCGCCCGTTTATACCACGGAATAACGCACATCTTCCCGAAAGCTAGCATCTTGTATCGCGTCTCTTCTCCGATCGGTTCTCCTCGTTGCCCCGCGTCTCTATATCCTACTCGATCATGAAGATTCTTATGCGAGCTGATACCCATGTGGACATCGAATTACCGGGCAACGCGCCAGTCGCTAAATGCACCTTCACTCAGGTATCGACAACGGCATTGCGTACTTTATATAGAAATCTATGCTCGATTTTATCCGGGATCATAACCGTGACTACTCGTTTTTTTCTCGTTCCTCGATTCGTTCGTTTATCGTGCGCGAGTAACCACTGCACGACCTTCCGGATTGAATATCGATCGAGATTTTACCGGTTCTCGCTTAACCGACATTGCTCGATAAATATTGCCCGCCGTTTACGATCCTCGAGTTTCGATCGCGTTTTCCACCGGTCGTTGCCTCCTTTTCCATCCATCCGCTGGATTTTGTCTTTTCCCGTTCTTGCCACATCGGAAATAGGAACGGAGAGGACGCGCGTCCATCGTGCGTGTTTGCGCGTGTGTGACTACGAGGAACGATTGTTCCGTTCGATCGCATTAACGCGCGTACCCGTTTCTAATGTTTTCAGGTATTGGCTGCCCTGTCGGTGTCACTGGGCTCCATGGTGGTCGGTTACTCGAGTTCCTACACCTCCCCTGGCCTGGTCTCCATGCGCGACAACTCCACGGCTATGTTCGAAGTAACGAAGGAAATCGTAAGTAACGAAAAGGCACAAGGACGAAAACTATTCCGGGGATGTGTCCGCGTGCGTAGTTTCACGCGAAACTCTCGAGGAAGCGATAGGAAGGATAGCGAATAGCGCGAATCCGACGCGTGTCTCTACCGGCGAGCGAATTGTTTTCAAACAAACGTGCTTGACGCGGGGATCGCGTAATCGCGAGTATTCCAGCGGAACGAGAAACAACGTTATCCGGATTCCTCGTTTATCCGAAAAGCGAGCCAAGGCCAAACGATCGGTAACCAGGCGGCACGTTTGTTTTCCAATGTATCCCGGTTGCACGGTTTATCTCGATAACGCGACGATCGCATTCCTTTCGCCGTTACGTACATGTGTACACGCCTGTGTGTACGTACGATGCGTTACCACGTTCGTCGCGCGATACGAAAACGAGCAACTACGTTCGGAAAAGGTATGCCTCCAGCCCGAAAGGGGCGTGCGCGATCGAGGATCGATGGGAGAAAATGCCGCGAGAATTGTTATCGCATCGGCGAATCATCGATGATATCGAGGAAGGGTCAACGAATGATTGAGTCTTTAACCCGTCGTGTCAATGTTACTCGGAATACGAGTTGTCGACGTCGATGCGACGCGTTTCCCATACGACCCCCCTTGTCGTGACATTCAGCCATCATCGAGATGTACCGCGTCCAGCCTCGATACGCGCGTCACGCGATTCGTTCGTTCTTGATTTACGCTGCTGTATGCTGCTACACGCCGCAACGCGTTTCTTGGGCCGCACTTTACCGCAACCTTCGCCGAGTCGTCGATGTGCCTGCAGGTTTAATCGCGCGGGAACAAACGTCCGTACGAGAGCAAATTCCACGCGATTATTTCCGGGTTCTTCAATGTCCCGCCCCTGTTCCACTCTTCCCGTTCCGACGTCGCCGATCGAGGTCTGCGTCAGCGTCCGAGGAACATCCCTTCCTTCCTTTCTTCTTTCCTTCCAATTCGCCTTCTTTGTATTCCAAGGTCGTGTGGCGTGATCACCGCGCGTAATCCGTCGCTCGGACAACGGGATTAAGGGGGACCATCGAGCCTCGCGGCGAACGTAACGTTGCCGTAACGTAACGCGCTTTCTATCCCGATACAGGCGCGATAGTCGCGTGATAGTCACGCGATGATTCTCGTTTCAGGGCATGTGGATAGGATCGATCATGCCGTTGAGCGCGCTCTTTGGAGGCATTGCCGGAGGTCCTTGTATCGAATACCTGGGTAGAAGAAACACCATTCTGGCCACTGCACTGCCGTTCATCGCAGGTATGCTTTTGCAATCCGGTTCTCGAGCCGAGTTCGCGTTAGATCGTCACGCGATATAGACTAATCGGTGCAACGTTCGTCGTTCCAGCCTGGCTGTTAATCGCATTGGCAACGAACGTCGCGATGGTACTGGTCGGCCGCGCGCTCTGCGGTTTCTGTGTCGGTATCGCCTCGCTCTCGCTACCGGTCTATCTCGGGGAGACGATACAGGCAGAGGTACGAGGCACCCTCGGACTATTACCAACCGCCTTTGGTAACACAGGTAAACGTTTTTTCCAGTTCCATCCGTCGACGAATCGTCCATCCTTTCTCTACGACTATCCGTTAATCGTCGATCGCCAGTCCAACTGAACGAGAATTTTTTTTCTTCCTTTCCGGTTTCTTTAGGAATTCTAGTCTGCTTCGTAGCCGGCATGTACTTGGATTGGAGAAATCTCGCGTTACTCGGCGCTAGTTTACCGATACCGTTCATGATCTTGATGTTCACCATTCCCGAAACTCCGAGATGGTACATATCCAAGGGAAAGGCGAAAAACGCGCGAAAATCGTTGCAATGGCTACGTGGTAAGGATACCGATATCAACGAGGAATTGAACGCCGTACAAAAGTTGCACGTCGATAGCGAACGCAACGTTTCGCAGGGTGCATTCATGGAACTCTTCAAGAAGAATCATCTGAAGCCGCTTTTAATTTCGCTCGGCCTAATGTTCTTCCAACAGCTCTCTGGAATTAACGCCGTTATATTTTATACCGTCCAAATCTTTAAGGTACGTCCACTTTCTTTCTAAATGCATACATGGGCAGAGGAAATGGTTAGAGGGAGCGAGAGGGAGCGAGAGGGAGCAAAGCTTAACGAAACGTGTTCTCCTCAGGACGCTGGAAGCAGTATCGACGAAAATCTTTCCACCATCTTCGTAGGTATCGTGAACTTCATTTCGACGTTCGTCGCGGCAGCTGTTATAGACAAACTGGGCAGAAAAATGTTGCTCTACATAAGCGGTATATCGATGTGCGTGACTCTGTTCACGTTCGGTACGTTCTTCTACGTGAAAGCGACAGGGACGGACGTGTCGGCGTTTGGTTGGATACCGCTAGTGAGCCTGATCGTTTACGTAATCGGGTTCTCGCTGGGATTCGGTCCGATCCCGTGGTTGATGATGGGCGAGATCTTGCCGGTCAAGATTCGCGGATCGGCCGCCAGCGTGGCAACCGCCTTCAACTGGACCTGCACGTTCGTCGTGACCAAGACGTACGAGGACATCGTCTCGATCATCGGACCGTATGGCACCTTCTGGATGTTCGGCGCGATCGTCTTGGTCGGATTCGTGTTCGTGATCGCCTGCGTACCGGAGACGCGAGGAAGATCTCTAGAGGAGATCGAGAAAAGATTCGCCGGACCGGTGAGAAGAATGAGTGCGGTCGCCAACATGAAGCCGTTACCAACCGCCTGTTAATCCTTTCTCTACTTCTCTCTCGATAGTTAGCTAAATCGATCTGTTCGACCGACGTGACGAACGATCGCGTCGTCGATACTCCATGCCTTTGCTTTCGCTTCGTTGTCAAACGAACCACTCCTATAGTTCCTTCATTCTGTCGATAAGAACGAGCGAAACGGATGCGAAGAGAACCGTCTTCCTGACCGATGATTCTCTTTTTCCCATTTCAATCTTAAAGCGACTCTGCTCACTGCTCTTTTCTTTCTTCTTTTTCCCTTTTCATTCTCACTTTCTTCTGGCCGCATCCACTTCCGTTTCGGAGCCGGATATTGTCGGAATTCATAGGGGCGCGACTCTCGTTGCGTTCAGTTTGCCGAGAAGATTGCGCAGCGGCTGTTCATCAACGAGAGAAAACGCGCGCCAACGAGTAGACTAAAGGAAAAAAGTAAGGGAAGAGGAAAGAAAAGAAAGAAAGAGAAGGTCGAAAAAGAAAGAAGAGAACGAATCGTTGACTAGACGTCCTATGTAACCGTTATTTTTGTTATTTCAAACACTTTACAGGGTCTACCTCAAATTAGTACTTTTGCTAAAGGTATACGAATAGGTTAACGACAAGTGTAAATTATTTAATTAGTACACGTGTGTATAGATTCGAATACGCTGATGATGATTCTACGTTGTGCCCAACGGAAAGAAAGAAACGGACGTTTCTTCCTTCTGTAACCAACGCGACAATAAAATTTCAACGCGACGGTTGTACGCGATTCTTATGTATGTACATCGATGTCGGCTGTCGCGTTTGTATATAGTTACCGATTTGCGTCAAAGAACAATTGCATCATTTACCAACGAATTAAATCGTCACACACGCCCCCCCCCCCCC